TGTGTTGCATTGTGTACTAGCCCCCCTTAAATCAGGGATAATCACAGATAGCACTACAGACCACTACCCTACCTTCCTCCTGACAAACATTAGTAAACCACCACTTGAATACAACAAAGTCTCATTTAGACTCCATGACGAGGCCTCAATAAGGAAGTTCACAGCTGACCTAGAGATTGTTGACTGGCCTACAGAATTCTCCAAGGCCAATGGTATTGATGACTGGACAGACATTTTTCTTAACAAATTACTTAGACTATACAACAAACATTGTCCTATAAAAACGAAACAGATCACAAACAAACGGCTTGGTTGCCCATGGCTAACCAGCACCATTCTGAAATCCATTGACAAGAAACACCAATATGAAAAGCAATATAGACAGGGCTTAATACACAAAGATATTCTTAAACACTATTCATCAGTTCTCACCAAAGTAATAAAGAAACCCAAACAACTATACTACTCCAGTAGATTCACAGACACTAGAGGAGATATAAAAAAGACCTGGAAAACACTCTCTCAGATTCTAGGGACCCACAAACTGAAAAAAAACAAGAATATTGTCCTAACTAAACCTAATGAAACACCACTACATCCCACTGACACAGCTAACAAGATAAACGACTTCTTCTCAACCATAGGATCTAATCTCGCCAATAAAATCCCACATACCAATGCCCATGCTGGGGACTACCTAGATGGGAATTTCCCAAATTCCTTCTATCTTGCACCAACTGACCCCTCGGAAGTCACCGAGATTATAAAGTCACTTAAAAACAACTCAGGGAATCTGTCTAATGTCCCACCATTACTGTACAAGCGAGCGGCCCATTTCCTTTCGCATGCTATTTCATTACTTTTTAACAAGTCACTAGAAACTAGCACCTTCCCGAAACTACTCAAGATGGCAAGGGTTACACCAATACATAAAGGTGGTGACCCTACAGACTTAAACAACTATAGGCCAATATCAAACTTACCATTGCTATCCAAAATCTTTGAGAAACTCGTGCACAGGAGACTATATTCATTTATAACAGCACAAAACATACTCAACCCCTGCCAATTTGGATTCAGGAAAAATAAAAACACTAATGATGCAATCATAAAAATGCTAGATCTGCTTTACACAGCATTGGAAAATAAGGAATATCCACTAGGAATTTTTATTGACCTAAGAAAAGCTTTTGACACAGTAGACCACGATATCCTACTCCACAAACTTGACCATTACGGTATAAGAGGCCATGCGCTTGCTTATTTCAAATCTTACCTTACTAATAGGTATCAGTATGTCACCATTAAAGACACAGCATCAACAACACGGCCACTTGATACTGGAGTTCCGCAGGGAAGTGTCCTTGGTCCCCTTCTCTTCCTCATAATACATCAATGATCTTCCAAATGTATCTCAACACCTGAAACCCATTCTCTTTGCTGACGACACGACTTATGTCATCTCTCACCCTAATCTTGCCACCCTCAACACCATTGTTAACGAGGAGCTGATCAAAATATCGACTTGGATGACAGCCAATAAACTTATGCTTAACACTGACAAAACCTACTATATTATGTTTGGTAGCAGAGCAGGAGATGCACAAATTAACATTAAGATCGACAACACTCTAATTACCAGACATAATGAGGGCAAATTCCTAGGCCTATACCTTGACAACAACCTGAATTTCAGCACCCATGTCCAACACATAACCAAAAAAGTATCCAAAACGGTTGGGATCCTCTCCAAGATACGATACTACATGCCGCAAAATGCCCTTCTCACACTATACCACTCACTTATTTATCCATACCTCACCTATGTTATTTGTGCTTGGGGATCAACTGCAGCAACACACCTAAAGCCAATAATAACCCAACAAAAAGCTGCAGTAAGAATAATCACTAAATCCCATCCCTGGCAACACACCCCCTCTCTTCATAGATTTAAACTTACTCCCTGTTCAGTACATCCACACTTACTACTGTGCAATCTACATCTACAGGACCTTAAACTCCAATATCAACCTTGACCTAAAACGCTTTCTTGATAGTTGTGACAGAACCCACAGGCATAACACCAGACACAAACATCTCTACGACATTCCCCGTGTCCGTAAATGTAGTGGACTCCAGGCAGGTTGTGTAGCGGGCTAGCTGCGGGATTTTCAAGGATAGCTCCTGGTCAAAGAGGCTGACCAGGTCCCTACTTAACAGAACTCAGTGTGAATGCTTTGAGAAGATACCAGAGCAGCGAACGGACTTCCCAGTGCATCGTTTCAGCGTAAATAGTTGAAGTGTTGTGCAGAAGGTTTGGTGTTGTTGAGTCAGGACCAGTCAGCGCCTCCCCCCCTCTCCGCTGGGGGGGAGGGGGAGGGCGTGTGTAGTAAACAGTGACCCTCTCATAACGCCTCGCCCCTGCCCGTCTCCCCCGCCTCACCCACCCAACTCCCAGCGCCACCCCATCTATAGAGGGTACTTCTCCCCTAACCCACGATGTCAGCGATGGCACTGCAGGGAGTGCCGGGCTCACAGGAACTTCCACTACAGGGACAGCATCGTGGAGTTCGACCGCGAGGCAGCTGTCAGGTGTGCCACAGGCAGTGTGTACTCAGTTCCTCAAGCTTCAACATCCGTGCACACGAGGGCCTGGGATCTTCAGTCAACTTGGCGTCCACCAGGACGTTCCCATGTCCCTAGGACAGCTCTCCATCTGGCTGCTAACGGAGCCACTGGCTTCTTGGACCTCTTGGGGAGGGTCGATGGTGCTCGTGCAAGCAGCAGATCCCGGGGCAACTTGCTGCTGTTTGCAATGGCTGTCTGCCGAGGAGAGACAGGCACCTAGCAATATCTGTTGTTGGGGCAATGGATGAATTCCCTGCTATGTTTGTTAACTGATCATTACTCTGTAATTTGTCTATGATTGTAATCATGTGATAACGTGTTTATCATTCATTACCTTTGAAACTTGTCATGTTTTTGACCAGCTCTACCTGGAGCTCATTACCTTTGTAAATTCTCATGATTAATGTGTTTATGATTCATTACCTTTGCAATTATTCATGAGTGTGACCAGCTCTACCTGGAGCTCATTACCTTTGTAACTTGGTCATGATTATGACCAGATCTAGTTCATTACCTTTGTAACTTGCTCAGCTATCAAAACTTTGGAGTCCAGTCCCTGGACCAATTATGTACCTCTGTAATCTTTTGACTACCGCCCACAGGATGGGTATGGGGTGCATAATAAACATATTAAACTAACTAACGACTAAACCTTTACAAAAATTCAATGTATGTCAAAGGCCCTAAAATCTGGAACACCCTACCTGAGAACTCTAGAACTGCAGACACATTCATCACCTTCAAAACTACCATTAGAAAACATCTTATCTCCCTGATAAACCCCATCAACTAACTACACAAATACCACCTGGTGGTTCACACTTACACTCACTCACCCATTTGACCATAAACAGAAATATTAATCTCAATCTTAAAATAATGAATCCTATGATACTCCAATACTGAAACTATGTACTGTGCCAAAACAAAAGCACTCACATTGCTAAACTCACAAACTAGTATTTAGTCACTTAGCCATAATACCAACTTACCTCATAATTTGTAATATTTTAAAATAAAGAATTAAACCAAGTCTGCCCGAAATGCCTAGCCATGCTAGGCGTTCTAGTGGTACACTCTGTAATCATTATTTAACTACATGTAAACCACACAACAACCAAATTCTGTAAATTCAACATTGTAATCCTTATAGAGAATAAACTTTGAGTTTGAATTTGAATTTGAATTGTGTTGTATTGTGCACCACTGTGCTGTATTGTGCACTATTGTGCTGTATTGTGTAGCGTAGTGCTGTATTATGCATCATTGTGTTGTATTGTGCATCATTGTGTTGTATTGTGCACCTGTGCTGTATTGTGCACCATTGTGTTGCATTGTTTACCATTGTGTTGTATTGTGCACCATTGTGCTGTATTGTGTACCATTATATTGTATTGTGAACGATGTGCACCATTGTGTTGTATTGTGCACCATTGTGGCGTGTTGTGTACCGTAATACATTATAATATAATTACTTCTAATTAATAAAGTTAATTTCCTAGTTTAGCTCAGTAGAGCGTCGAACTGTAAATGTGAGGACGGCGGTTCGATCCCCGCCTGAACCTTTTTGTTTATTAATGGACAGTTGTTAATTAAACTTAATTTGAGTTAATATACATAACTAAGTATGAGAGTGAGAGTCAGGATGACTTGGTCATCATTGTTTACCTGGATAGAGTTCCGGGGGTCAGCGCCCCCGCGGCCCGGTCTGTGACCAGGCCTCCTGGTGGATCAGAACCTGATCAACCAGGCTGTTACTGCTGGCTGCACGCAAAGATCATAATAAAGTGAAGGAATCAACATGGTCACAGTTTTCTTCATACATAAACATAGTCACCTGTAAATAATTTGCAATTATCATTACTATATTATTATTATAATCATGGAGGAGCGCTAAACCCGTAGAATTATACAGCACCTGTAGGGGGGAGGGGGTATTCAGGCCCAGTTCAGGGAACTGGATCACAGATCCAATTCCCTAGATCAAGAGCCTCTCACCAGGGTCAAGGAACCTCCTTTGAGAGGCATCATTACTATAAAAGTTATACATTGACTTCAGAAAATGTACTAAAGTATTAAGATCAGCACATATTGATCTTTAATTATTACTGGTTCCAATATATTTTCACTAGAGTTTATGTTCAAGTAGTAATGTGGAAATTATTAGGCGTCAGAAATATTCCGTGGAAAATGTTTATAGTGGAAGCATAAGCGGTCCTTAATATAACAGCTTAAATAACCACTTTTATATAATATTTGACAATTTAGACAGACTTACGGAGTTACACAGAGAAAATAACATTGTTATAGGACCTAGAATAGTTAGAAATAAGTTAAAAAAATAGTATTATAGATAGCCAGTATTTCAAAAATTTAATTTGAGATCAAGAGAGACATTAGTTTCAATTGTGTGATCAAGAAGGTGAGATTTGTGGCCAGGACTACCGTAATTCTTACTTAGGAAGAGCAACTTTATGCCAACCAAGCTTCCTCAAACCCCGAGGATAACTATTAATATGCTTTCAAGCCCCAGTGGACCAGGTTTATGTTTTATTCATCATTACTGGCCAGTTTTACTGCTGAAGTGTGGAAGATGTCTCTGGTTGGTAAAGTTCTCGCTTCACAAGACGGGGGACCCGGGTTCGATTCCTGTCGGGGTGGAAATATTTCGACACGTTTCCTTACACCTGTTGTCCTGTTCACCTAGCAGCAAGTAGGTACCTGGGTGTTAATGGACTGGTGTGGGTGGCATCCTGGGGGACAAGAATGAGGACCACAATGGAAGACAGTTCTCAATGATTCACTGACTTTCTTGGGTTATCCAGGGTGGCTAACCCTCTGGGGTTAAAAATCCGAACGAAATCTTATCTTATAAATAGCAGCATATGTATAAAGACCTAGAATAACCCAAAAAAGTCAGACTAACTTATTTTCATTGGGGTCATTTTATTATTATAGCAAAAATAATACCTGTATATTATATGATTACAGTCAATTGTATAAATAGTGATGATTTAATATTTAAATAGTTTATGTATGACCCATGTAACTACCTTATACCAGCCTATTTTAACCTAACTCTTATGAAATCCATTTTCCTTTTAATATTTTACTAGATTTCTGCTAATAGTTATTACAGTTTGACTCAAATACAGCTGTATAATGTTGTACAGAGAAATACACAAGTGCTTGATGATAACAGGAGCAGAGTCTGCTGTTGTTAGTTCAAATGTCTCTGTGTTATGAGAGAGTGGACCAAGAAGTGCCATCATATTGAAAGCTTAACAAAGATTAAGCAAGGAAACCAATTAAGTTTGATTCAAAACTTGGAGATAAGATAGAACATTGAGTCATGAGCAGTATGATAAGGAGTGTCAGCCAGTTGCCAACTGCATTTCACATTTACTTACAAGCATATTACTGCATTAGTGTAAAAAATTATATAAATCATATTAGCGCACTTGCAAAAGAATATTAGACTCGCCAATTGACGTGTATTGGACGCTTGGCATGATTTGTTTACTTTTGAACTTTGGTAAAAATCGAACATTTCTGCTACTTTGAGCTCAATTTCAAGGTACTTTTCATTGTAAAACCATTCAAAATCATCTCAATTTCTGTGATATGCCTTCCATTCTATAAAATGAGACCAAGAAAACTAGAATACAACAATAAATACCATACAAAAATACACTGCAAAGTCGCTGTTTTATTCCAAAAAAACGGTCAAAGTTTTTTTTTTCTCATTATGCACTGTGTGCTGCAGGATTTTTTTTATACCGTGCGCACTGACCACATACACATTCTTTCATATAGAGGCCTACCAGCCTTTTCCCGCGAGATTTGACGGCGCTAGAATTTATGCGTACTAGTACGTCGAAAACCCCTGCGCGTAAGACGTACTAGTACGTCCGAAACCCTCAAAGGGTTAAGAACCCCTACGACAGAGAGAGAGAGAAAGAGAGAGAGAGAATGAGAATGAATGAATACCTCTTCAGAGGTTTTCTTTAAAATGTTTTAAATTTTAATAGTGACCTAAAATACGTTAAGATTTTTTTATATATACATGTATATTTAGATTTCACCCTTTAGAGAAAAGAAGTTTTCCAAGGTATAACGTCATTACAGTGTGCACACAGACTGGTCAGTTTTTCTTCTTGTAGCAACCTATATCTTCCATTGCTGTTTGTCCTCTTGTGGGTTTATTGAGTTAGTAATTGTTTTATTTGTATGCCAGATGCACATTTGAAATTTTGTTGAACAATGTAGTATATAATTTTCTATCTGACTGAATTGATTCCCTAGGTGAACAAGGTAATAAGATAAAAAGTTTACACCACAACATTTGACTTACAGTCACAGTAATAAAGATGAGGATTGTGGTGAGGTTGTCTCCCGAATCCCTAACAGATGAGAAAATTACACTTGCTGCACAAGCTGGCACTGGACAAGCACCTAAAGTCAGTTCCGGATCAGCCGGGCTGTGGCTCGTATGTTGGTTTGCGTGCAGCCAGCAGCAACAGCCTGGTTGATCAGGCTCTGATCCACCAGGAGGCCTGGTCTCAGACCGGGCCGCGGGGGCGTTGACCCCCGGAACTCTCTCCAGGTAAACTCCAGGTAAACTAACGTGGATGAAACCATGAGTCTTCTGCAAAAACTTCCTTCAGATCAGTACTATAACTTGAATGCATTAATTAAATAGTCCTAACAGAATGTTTAGGAGTAGATGGAAAGATTGTAGAATCTCTGTATTTATCTAACCTTTTAACTGTGTCAAATGGAGTAGCACTCAGATGATGACTGTGTCCAACATACTAGTATGCACAATTTTTTACGTCTTCAAATACTCCATCTAAAAATATTTTTGACCTTAGCTTAACTGAGGTCAAGAATGTTGCTTTTGAAAAATTTTGATACCAGGCGGGTTCATGCAGAGCATCAGGTAAACTCCAGGTAACTCTGCCTAACTAGCATAAATAAACATTGAAACCAGGAGCTAGTTTTCCACCACCTTTTTTCCTACCAGCAAACAGGGTGTGGAAATGCCAGAACAATGCATTATTCATTCTAAATTTAATAAAATTTCATGATACTAGCAGTAGAATTCAGCATTGTGTATGTGTTTGTGTGTGTGCGTGTGTTTTCACATACACATTCACTATGCAACATTTATTATACTGTAGTTAATCACTTCTTTCTTTGAAATAAGCTGAATAATGCAAATGTATGCTACTTCTCATAAATTTCATTACAGAGTGGACAATAGTCCAAATAACAGCACAGAGTGGTGAGAGTGTAACTTCCAGAAGATTGGCACTCTCCCTTCCACCCCTGGACTGTACATATCCCGCTGCACATGTGGTCTGCAACCAGTTGTAACTGTGCAGGTATAAATATGAGATTAAATCAAGACCAAATCATTAGAAGATTGATTGTGATTGCCTTATTTTTACTCTGTAACTGTTGTATATGCACCAAGTCAGTTGAATTACAAATCTTAAGTTAGTTGTATCAGGAGTTTTGTGCTGTGTTGTAATGATACCCATACTGATAGTTTTCACTTGTGCTTGCTGTTAATGATGTGTAGAAGCTTGTGTGACAGTTTGTTTTGTATTTTTACGCTATAAAACAAATGCAACAACAAATCTCAATGCTCTGTGTTGTTTGCTCGCTTCATTCTTCTGGGATATCCATGGTTTTGCAGTTAAATTTGCTGTTAAAATTATTATGAGTGGGCTTTGTATTGCAGTTTTACAATTTTTTTTGAGCACGGTAACATTCACGAAGGGATTCAGGGAACCAGGTTAGCTGGACTTGAGTCCTAAAAGTGGGAAATACAGTGCATGTGAAAGGAGGGGTGGAGATATGTTGCAATTTTTGATCTGCAGTGTAAGTGTGGCTCTAGCAAGACAATGATGGAGTGAATGATGATGAAAGTGTTTCTTCTTTTTTGGGTCACCCTGCCTCAGTAGGACACAGCTGATGTGTTAAAAAAGAAAAAAAATGTTGGATCGTTACAATCAGTAAAATATTTACTAGGCAGTGATGCAATGATGAGCAAGAGTCAGTGTTGTGAGTGAATAAAACTGTACATAAGGAATAGAGAAAGTTTATTTAGGTTTTGTTTTAGAATAGGTTAAAACAAAGGCAGAACTGCTTGATCATTAATGTTGACCAGGTTGTCAAAATATATACTCTTACATATTTAGAAAATAATGACTGATATCTTGTCACCCTGCCTCGGTGGGAAATGGCTGACATATTAAAAAAAAAAAATCTTGTTAAGTTTTCATCTGTTTTTTCAGTCTAAATAAACTTAATTTAACTTCATATGTTTCCTAGCAGACCAAAAACATGTCACTTGATTTCTCTTGATACTTTTTTATATTTTTGTTGTCTTTATATTTTTTAGGGGCTTGAGCATCCAACAGGCTTATCCGAATATGTTGGATAGAAGTGCACTTAGACAAAGGATTTTTTCATAGACGTGCTGTTGGAGTGGGAGCAGGATAAGTTTTGTGAAGGGATTAATAGAAACCGGTTAGCCAGACTTGAGTCTTGAAGGTGGGAAGGGCAGAGCCTTCATGCTGAAATAGAGGTGCAGATGTTGCAGTCGGAGGGTAATATGTGATTGTGATGTCAGCACACTTCTGGAAAGGCTGACTGAATGAATATGATTTTTTTTTTTTGGGGGGGGGGGGGTCACCCTACTTTGGTGGAAGATGGCTGTTGAGTAAAAAAAGAAAAAAAAAAAAAAAAGATTATTTTGTAAATTTAAGATTTTTCCTATGCACATATTATATGGGCTGTTTGAAAATACTTGAAACTTGTCTTCACACAGTTGTATTTATTTAGAGGTAGTGATGATAAATCTTCAGTAATATTTTAAGGTATCCCATCACTAGTATTGACTAAATTCATATAGGCTGTAATGTTATAAAAAAAAAATATGAATTTAGGCTTATTTTGATCATTTGGTATTAAAGGGTATTTTAAAATTAATGTTTGTAAATATACATCTTAGGCAGTGGCAGCTCCCAAAGATAAAGGGTGCGGGGAATCCAGCAGGAGGTGGAACTTATAAAGGAAGAGAACAAAATTATTAACAAGGACTACCGAGACCAGTAGCAGAAATACTTCACCAAGAGAGAATGCTTAATAATAAACTTATGGTATTTTTTCTTTTTTTTTTCAACAAGTCGGCCTTTTCCCACCGAGGCAGGGTGACCCAAAAAAAAGAAAGAAAATCCCCAAAAAGAAAATACTTTCATCATCATTCAACACTTTCACCACACTCGCACATTATCACTGTTTTTGCAGAGGTGCTCAGAATACAACAGTCCAGAAGCATACACATATAAAGACACACAACATATCCCTCCAAACTGCCAATATCCCAAACCCCTCCTTTAAAGTGCAGGCATTGTACTTCCCATTTCCAGGACTCAAGTCTGACTATATGAAAATAACCGGTTTCCCTGAATCCCTTCACTAAATATTACCCTGCTCACACTCCAACAGATCGTCAGGTCCCAAGTACCATTCGTCTCCATTCACTCCTATCTAACACGCTCACGCACGCTTGCTGGAAGTCCAAGCCCCTTGCCCACAAAACCTCCTTTACCCCCTCTCTCCAACCCTTTCGAGGACGACCCCTACCCCGCCTTCCTTCCCCTATAGATTTATATACTTTCCATGTCATTCTACTTTGATCCATTCTCTCTAAATGACCAAACCACCTCAACAACCCCTCTTCTGCCCTCTGACTAATACTTTTATTAACTCCACACCTTCTCCTAATTTCCACACTCCGAATTTTCTGCATAATATTTACACCACACATTGCCTTAAACAGGACATCTCCACTGCCTCCAACCGTCTCCTCGGTGCTGTATTTACCACCCAAGCTTCACACCCATATAAGAGTGTTGGTACTACTATACTTTCATACATTCCCTTCTTTGCCTCCATAGATAACGTTTTTTGACTCCACATATACCTCAACGCACCACTCACCTTTTTTCCCTCATCAATTCTATGATTAACCTCATCCTTCATAAATCCATCCGCCGACACGTCAACTCCCAAGTATCTGAAAACATTCACTTCTTCCATACTCCTCCCCAATTTGATATCCAATTTTTCTTTATCTAAATCATTTGACACCCTCATCACCTTACTCTTTTCTATGTTCACTTTCAACTTTCTACCTTTACACACATTCCCAAACTCATCCACTAACCTTTGCAATTTTTCTTTAGAATCTCCCATAAGCACAGTATCATCAGCAAAAAGTAACTGTGTCAATTCCCATTTTGAATTTGATTCCCCAAAATTTAATCCCACCCCTCTCCCGAACACCCTAGCATTTACTTCCTTTACAACCCCATCTAAATATATTAAACAACCATGGTGACATTACACATCCTGTCTAAGACCTACTTTTACTGGAAGTAGTTTCCCTCTCTTCTACACACCCTAACCTGAGCATCACTATCCTCAAAAAACTCTTTACAGCATTTAATAACTTACCACCTATTCCATATACTTGCAACATCTGCCACATTGCTCCTCTATCCACTCTATCATATGCCTTTTCTAAATCCATAAATGCAATACAAATTTCCCCCTACCTTTTTTCTAAATACTGTTCACATATATGCTTCAATGTAAACACTTGATCTACACATCCCCTACCCACTCTGAAACCTCCTTGCTCATCCGCAATCCTAAATTCTGTCTTACCTCTAATTCTTCAATTATAACCCTACCGTACACTTTTCCTGGTATACTCAGTAAGCTTATTCCTCTATAATTTTTACAGTCTCTTTTGTCCCCTTTCCCTTTATATAAAGGGACTATACATGCTCTCTGCCATTCCCTAGGTACCTTCCCCTCTTTCATACATTTATTAACAAAAGTACCAACCACTCCAACACTATATCCCCCCTGCTTTTAACATTTCTGTCATGATCCCATCAGTTCCAGCTGCTTTACCCCTTTCATTTTACGTAATGCCTCACGTACCTCCCCCACACTTACATTCTGCTCTTCTTCACTCCTAAAAGATGGTATACCTCCTGACCAGTGCATGAAATTACTGCCTCTGTTTCTTCCTTAACATTTAAAGTTCCTCAAATATATTCTCGCCATCTACCTAATACCTCCCTCTCCCCATCTACTAACTCCCCTACTCTGTTTTTAATGGACAAATCCATATTTTCCCTAGGCTTTCTTTAACTTGTTAACTCACTCCAAAATTTTTTTCTTATTTTCATTAAAATTTCTTGACAGTGCCTCTCCCACTCTATCATCTGCTCTCCTTTTGCACTCTCTCACCACTCTCTTTACCTTTCTTTTACTCTCCATATACTCTGCTCTTCTTATAACACTTCTGCTTTGTAAAAACCTCTCATAAGCTACCTTTTTCTCTTTTATCACACCTTTACTTCATCATTCCACCAATCACATCCTCTTTCCTCCTGCCCCACCCTTCTATAACCACAACTTCTGCCCCACATTCTAATACTGCATTTTTAAAACTATTCCAACCCTCTTCAACCCCCCACTACTATCTTTGCACTAGCCACCTTCTGCCAATAGTCGCTTATATCTCACCCGAACTTCCTCCTCCCTTAGTTTATACACTTTCACCTCCCTCTTACTTGTTGTTGCCACCTTCCTCTTTTCCCATCTACCTCTTACTCTAACTGTAGCTACAACTAAATAATGATCCGATATATCAGTTGCCCCTCTATAAACATGTACATCCTGGAGCCTACCCATCAACCTTTTATCCACCAATACCTAATCTAATAAACTACTTTCATTACGTGCTACATCATACCTTGTATATTTATTTATCCTCTTTTTCATAAAATATGTATTACTTATTACCAAATTTCTTTCTACACATAGCTCAATTAAAGGCTCCCCATTTACATTTAACCCCTGGCACCCCAAATTTACCTACTACTCCCTCCATAACATTTTTACCCACTTTTAGCATTGAAATCCCAACCACCATTACTCTCACACTTGATTCAAAACTCCCCACGCATTCACTCAACATTTCCCAAAATCTCTCTCTCCTCTACACTTCTCTCTTCTTCCAGGTGCATACACGCTTATTAAAACCCCACTTTTCACATCCAATCTTTATTTTACTCCACATAATCCTTGAATTAATACATTTATAGTCCCTCTTTTCCTGCCATAGCTTATCCTTAAAACATTATTGCTACTCCTTCTTTAGCTCTAACTCTATTTGAAACCCCTGACCAAATCCATTTATTCCTCTCCACTGAAACTCTCCCACCCCCTTCAGCTTTGTTTCACTTAAAGCCAGGACATCCAGCTTCTTCTCATTCATAACATCCACAATCATCTCTTTCTTATCTCTGCCCCAAAAATCCACGCACATTCAGACTTCCCTTTGACATTTTCTTCTTCTTATTCCTTTTTAGTAATCTTTACAGGAAAAGGGTTACTAGCCCATTGTTCCCGGCATTTTAGTTGACTTTTACAACACGCATGGCTTACGGAGGAAAGATTCTTATTCCACTTCCCCATGGATATAAAAGGAAAATTAATAAGACCAAGAACTATTAAGATAAAATCAAAGAAAACTCAGATGAGTGTGTATAAATAAATGTGTACATGTATGTGTAGTGTGACCTAAGTGTAAGTAGAAGTAGCAAGACATGCCTGTAATCTTGCATATTTATGAGACAGACAAAAGACATCAGGAATCCTACCATCATGTAAAACAATCACAGGCTTTCGTTTTACACTCACTTGGCAGGACGGTAGTACCTCCCTGGGTGGTTGCTGTCTACCAACCTACTACCTACTGGCTTATTGGTTGTATTGGGCAGTACTAAATATCAATTATTTGCAATAATTTTCTTAGTAATCTTCCATAGTATTTGCATATTATACTTTTTCCTTCTTTTAACACAGCCATCTCCCACCAAGGCAGGGTGGCCCAAAAAAGAAAAGGTTTCACAATCATTCACTCTATCACTGTCTTGCCAGAGGCGCACTTACACTACAGTTATAAAACTGCAACATTAACACCCCCTCCTTCAGAGAGCAGACATTGTACTTCCTATCTCCAGGACTCAAGTCCAGTCTGCCGGTTTCCCTGAATCCCTTCATAAATGTTACCCTGCTCACACTCCAACAACACGTCAAGTCCAAAAATCCATTTGTCTCCATTCACTCCTATCTAATATGCCCACACATGCTTGCTGCATATTATACTACAGTGCTATATTTGTATTTAGGAATTATGTGAATAGCTGAATGTATTCTTGTCTTTTATACAGGTCATATTGACTGATGCTGAATTCTTATTTTCCTCTATTGCAGTGTGTTGTTATGAGTATGGAGGTGGCCTGGTTGCGACACTGGTGCTGCTTGTTAGTTGGCTCTCTTGACACTCATGATCAGTGCCTCCTGGAGGAAACTACTGCTCGTATACTAGCTAACTGCAAGGTACCCCTCGCGGACAATCAGAAGCAACTGCTGCAGGTTAGAACTTCGTAATAAATGTACTGCTATTATTACATCTTTCAAAACTTTGCCTCTCAAGCCTAATATTTGTACATATCTTGTTTTCTAATTTATAATTTTTTCTGTTATCAGTATTATTGTATGTATATGTATTAATGCCAGTTTTATTCACTAGTCTTTATTATCAGAGTTCTTCAATGTAGTTTAATTGTAACATTACCTAGCATTTCTAAGCGCATAAAATAAAAGGATGGTCCCTTGCAAGGTAAATCATGTGCTAGTGAAAGTGCTGTAAATATTTCCTCTTTTGTCTTATTTTTTTTTTTTTTATTATCACACCGGCCGATTCCCACCAAGGCAGGGTGGCCCGAAAAAGAAAAACTTTCACCATCATTCACTCCATCACTGTCTTGCCAGAAGGGTGCTTTACACTACAGTTTTTAAACTGCAACATTAACACCCCTCCTTCAGAGTGCAGGCACTGTACTTCCCATCTCCAGGACTCAAGTCCGGCCTGCCGGTTTCCCTGAATCCCTTCATAAATGTTACTTTGCTCACACTCCAACAGCACGTCAAGTATTAAAAACCATTTGTCTCCATTCACTCCTATCAACACGCTCACGCATGCCTGCTGGAAGTCCAAGCCCCTCGCACACAAAACCTCCTTTCCCCCCTCCCTCCAACCCTTCCTAGGCCGACCCCTACCCCGCCTTCCTTCCACTACAGACTGATACACTCTTGAAGTCATTCTGTTTCGCTCCATTCTCTCTACATGTCCGAACCACCTCAACAACCCTTCCTCAGCCCTCTGGACAACAGTTTTGGTAATCCCGCACCTCCTCCTAACTTCCAAACTACGAATTCTCTGCATTATATTCACACCACACATTGCCCTCAGACATGACATCTCCACTGCCTCCAGCCTTCTCCTCGCTGCAACATTCATCACCCACGCTTCACACCCATATAAGAGCGTTGGTAAAACTATACTCTCATACATTCCCCTCTTTGCCTCCCAAAGGGCAAAGTTCTTTGTCTCCACAGACTCCCAAGTGCACCACTCACTCTTTTTCCCTCATCAATTCTATGATTCACCTCATCTTTCATAGACCCATCCGCTGACACGTCCACTCCCAAATATCTGAATACGTTCACCTCCTCCATACTCTCTCCCTCCAATCTGATATTCAATCTTTCATCACCTAATCTTTTTGTTATCCTCATAACCTTACTCTTTCCTGTATTCACCTTTAATTTTCTTCTTTTGCACACCCTACCAAATTGTCTTATTTTGTATTTTATATTTAATAATCAGTGATTAAGTAGAACTGAATGCATAATTTCATATATAGTACATGTCATGGCATTATGCCGGGTGAGCGCCCCGGCATACTGCCGTGATGAAAATCAAAGGCATTCTGCTGGGTAGCAGATGTTAGCATGACGTCATGGCCTTCCTCCACACTTCACAATGACTTCTCATTGCTCACATGGCTGCCGTGGTGAGAGGAAGTGTTGCAATTTTGTCTCTCATCTGTCCCATAAGTAGTAAGTAGTAGGTTGGTAGACAGCAACCACCCAGGGAGGTACTACCGTCCTGCCAAGTGAGTGTAAAGCAAAAGCCTGTAATTGTTTTACATGATGGTAGGATTGCTGGTGTCTTTTGTCTGTCTCATAAATATGAAAGATTCAGGTACGTTTGCTATTTCTACTTACCTTAGGTCACATACACATACATGTACATGTTTTTTTATACAACTCATCTAGTTTTCTTTGATTTATTTTAAATTTTCTTGGTCTTATTCTTTTCCTTTTTATCCAGGGGGAAGTAAAATAAGAATCTTTCCTCCGTAAGCCATGCGTGTTTTAAAAGTCAACTAAAATGCCGGGGGGGGGAAAAAGGGCTAGTAACCCCCTTTTTCCCGTAAAGATTTTAAAAAAAATAAGAAAAAGAAAAATTTTCAAAGTGGGGAAGTCTGAATTGCGTGGATTTGTGAAATGATAAGAAAGAGATGTTGTGGATGTTTGAATGAGAAGAAATGGATGTCCTGGCTTTAAGTGAAACAAAGCTGAAGGGGGGGTGGGAGGTTTCAATGGAAGGAATAAATGGGATTAGGTCAGGGGTTTCAAATAGAGTTAGAGCTAAAGAAGGAGTAGCAATAATGTTGAAGGATAAGCTATGGCAGGAAAAGAGGGACTACAAATGCATAAATTCAAGGATTATGTGGAGTAAAATAAAGATTGGATGTGAAAAAGTGGGTTATAGTAAGCGTGTATGCACCTGGAGAAGAAAGAAGTGTAGAGGAGAGAGAGAGATTCTGGGAAATGTTGAGTGAATGTGTGGGGAGTTTTGAATCAAGTGTGAGAGTAATGGTGGTTGGGGATTTCATGCTAAAGTGGGTAAAAATGTTATGGAGGAGTAAGGTAGTAGGTAAATTTGGGGTGCCAGGGGTAAATGTAAATGGGGAGCCTTTAATTGAGCTATGTGTAGAAAGAAATTTGGTAATAAGTAATACATATTTTATGAAAAAGAGGATAAATAAATATACAAGGTATGATGTAGCACGTAATGAAAGTAGTTTGTTAGATTATGTATTGGTGGATAAAAGGTTGATGGGTAGGCTCCAGGATGTACATGTTTATAGAGGGGCAACTGATATGTCAGATCATTATTTAGTTGTAGCTACAGTTAGAGTAAGAGGTAGATGGGAAAAAGAGGAAGGTGGCAACAACAAGTAAGAGGGAGGTGAAAGTGTATAAACTAAGGGGGAGGAAGTTCAGGCGAGATATAAACGACTATTGGCAGAAAGGTGGGCTAGTGCAAAGATGAGTAGTGGGGGGGTTGAAAGGGTTGGAATAGTTTTAAAAATGCAGTATTAGAATGTGGGGCAGAAGTTTGTGGTTATAGGAGGGTGGGGGCAGGAGGAAAGAGGAGTGATTGGTGGAATGATGAAGTAAAGGGTGTGATAAAAGAGAAAAAGGTAGCTTACGAGAGGTTTTTACAAAGCAGAAGTGTTATAAGAAGAGCAGAGTATATGGAGAGTAAAAGAAAGGTGAAGAGAGTGGTGAGAGAGTGCAAAAGGAGAGCAGATGAAAGAGTGGGAGAGGCACTGTCAAGAAATTTTAATGAAAATAAGAAAAAATTTTGGAGTGAGTTAAACAAGTTAAGAAAGCCTAGGGAAAGTATGGATTTGTCCATTAAAAACAGAGTAGGGGAGTTAGTAGATGGGGAGAGGGAGGTATTAGGTAGATGGCGAGAATATTTTGAGGAACTTTTAAATGTTGAGGAAGAAAGGGAGGCGGTTAATTTCATGCACTGGCCAGGGAGGTATACCATCTTTAGGAGTGAGAGAAGAGCGTAATGTAAGTGTGGTGGAGGTACGTGAGGCATTACGTAGAATGAAAGGGGTGTAAAGCAGCTGGAACTGATGGGATCATGACAGAAATGTTAAAAGCAGGGGGGGATATAGTGTTGGAGTGGTTGGTACTTTTGTTTAATAAATGTATGAAAGAGGGGAAGGTACCTAGGGATTGGCAGAGAGCATGTATAGTCCTTTATATAAAGGGAAAGGGGACAGAAGAGATTGTAAAAATTATAGAGGAATAAGTTTACTGAGTATACCAGGAAAAGTATACGGTTAGAGTTATAATTGAAAGAATTAGAGGTAAGACAGAATGTAGAATTGCGGATGAGCAAGGAGGCTTCAGAGTGGGTAGGGGATGTGTAGATCAAGTGTTTACATTGAAGCATATATGTGAACAGTATTTAGATAAAGGTAGGGAAGTTTTTATTGCATTTATGGATTTAGAAAAGGCATATGATAGAGTGGATAGAGGAGCAATGTGGCAGATGTTGCAAGTTTATGAATAGGTGGTAAGTTACTAAATGCTGTAAAGAGCTTTTTATGAGGATAGTGAGGCCCAGGTTAGGGTGTGTAGAAGAGAGGGAGAATACTTCCCGGTAAAAGTAGGTCTTAGACAGGGATGTGTAATGTCACCATGGTTGTTTAATATATTTATAGATGGGGTTGTAAAAGAAGTAAATGCTAGGGTGTTCGGGAGAGGGGTGGGATTAAATTATGGGGAATCAAATTCAAAATGGGAATTGACACAGTTACTTTTTGCAGATGATACTGTGCTTATGGGAGATTCTAAAGAAAAATTTGCAAAGGTTAGTGGATGAGTTTGAGAATGTGTGTAAAGGTAGAAAGTTGAAAGTGAACATAGAAAAGAGTAAGGTGATGAGGGTATCAAATGATTTAGATAAGAAAAATTGGATATCAAATTGGGGAGGAGGAGTATGGAAGAAGTGAATGTTTTCAGATACTTGGGAGTTGACGTGTCGGCAGATGGATTTATGAAGGATGAGGTTAATATAGAATTGATGAGGGAAAAAAGGTGAGTGGTGGGCGTTGAGGTATATGTGGAGTCAAAAAACGTGATCTATGGAGGCAAAGAAGGGAATGTATGAAAGTATAGTAGTACCAACACTCTTATATGGATGTGAAGCTTGGGTGGTAAATGCAGCAGCGAGGAGACGGTTGGAGGCAGTGGAGATGTCCTGTTTAAGGGCAATGTGTGGTGTAAATATTATGCAGAAAATTCGGAGTGTGGAAATTAGGAGAAGGTGTGGAGTTAATAAAAGCATTAGTCAGAGGGCAGAAGAGGAGTTGTTGAGGTGGTTTGGTCATTTAGAGAGAATGGATCAAAGTAGAATGACATGGAAAGCATATAAATCTATAGGGGAAGGAAAGAGGGGTAGGGGTCGTCCTCGAAAGGGTTGGAAAGAGGGGGTAAAGGAGGTTTTGTGGGCGAGGGGCTTGGACTTCCAGCGGGCGTGCGTGGGTGTGTTAGATAGGAGTGAATGGAGACGAATGATACTTGGGACCTGACGATCTGTTGGAGTGTGATCAGGGTAATATTTAGTGAAGGGATTCAGGGAAACCGGTTATTTTCATATAGTCGGACTTGAGTCCTGGAAATGGGAAGTACAATGCCTGCACTTTAAAGGAGGGGTTTGGGATATTGGCAGTTTGGAGGGATATGTTGTGTATCTTTATACGTATATGCTTCTAAACTGTTGTATTCTGAGCACCTCTGCAAAAGCAGTGATAATGTGTGAGTGTGGTGAAAGTGTTGAATGATGATGAAAGTATTTTCTTTTTGGGGATTTTCTTTCTTTTTTTTGGGTCACCCTGCCTTGGTGGGAGACGGCCGACTTGTTGAAAAAAAAACAAAAAAAAAAAATCTGTCCCATCTTTTGTCCAGTGTTCCCTTTGGTTTTGGGGCTATACATCTTTGATTATGGGTAAAAGGAAGTCTTTAACACCTGAAACTATAACTCAGATCATAGGGCTTCACAAAACTGGGCACCAGATGAAAGAAACAGTGGAGAATGTTGGTGTGTGTGAGCGTTCAGTGAGGAACTAGTGCAGCGTTTCCAAACTGGTGGTGGTGTCGAGTTACCGTCTGCCAGACCTCGGCCTGGCCCCTCGAAGAAGACATCTGTTCATACCTTAACTGTGTTAAAGAAGCAGTTACTCTCTCATTGCTTCTAACATCTGCTACCCAGCAGAATGCACTGACAAAAAAAAAAACCCTGTATGGGGGCTCATCATGGCATAATGCCATGATGAGCACCATATTTCTCAATAACTTCACTTCAGCGATTGTAATATTTGTAGCATAGCAGGCGATAATACTGATTTATTCAATAAATGTAATGGAGATTTTTGAATGATACACTTCACTTTCAGTAAAAAATGTTACTTTAAAAAAGAAAATTTAAAAAAATTATTTTTAAATTTTTTCAGTATATTATTAGCTGCCCATTACCATTGGAAAAAAAGAACGGATTGGAACTAGACTTCTCTGTTAATGTGCGTGCAAGTGTAGCATCCTTACTTAGTGCATCGGTGAAAAGTCATTGTGTCAAACACCTCTATGCTGCTATCCAGAAAGAGGAAGCAACGTTGGAGCGATTGCAACGAGCTCAGAGACATCCAGTAATACTTGTTCTGGACAAGGTAATTTTAATTTCAGGCGATAAGAATTAGTGTACGAGTTCAGAGCAATAGTATAAACTTTCTTGAAGAATTCCCTTTTCAGTTACTTTAATTTATATTTTATTTTTTCTTTATTTAAATCCTTCTCAATTGATAATTATTAGGACTATGATGGTGACTTATGTCACTTCTAATAGCTCATGATCACTTTTACCAAGTGGATTTATTGTATTTAAACCAAGGATATCTTTTCTTTTCTAAAAGCACTAGATTTAATGTGGATGTCGTTTTGCCTTTTCTCACGGGAATTGCTTCATTGTTGAGTATGGATGCATGATGTGCAGTGTCTGTGATGAGTGGGGTAGAATTTGCTGAAGCAGGGTGACCCAAAAAAAAAAAAATTTTACCATCATTCACACTATCACTGCTTTGCTAGAGGCACCAGATAAGATAGTTTAGATGTCCCTCTAAACAGTAAATATCATACTGCATAGAAAATTAATTTGAATATGATTTTAAAGTAGCTCCCTCTTTCAGAGCATTGTCTCACTACCATGGGAGATGATGTGGATCTTAAGAGATCAGCCAGTCACTAGGATGCCAAGTATTTGTATGCTATTGCTGTTATATCAGGTAAACTTTTCAAGTATTTTTTTGAAAGTTTTTAGATTCCCTAGTTTCACAGTACATTATTAGGATGTATTTCTTTTCATTAAAGTTAATTTTATGTATTATATCAACATGTTTTCTTTAAAAAATGTGTGATTTAATAAGAAAATATTTAAATTTACAATTCTTGTTTCCTTGGGAGGAAGATGTGTTGTTTACAAGGAGACCTTCATTACATTTTATCCAAGACTGCCTTACTGAAAATTAAAAAAACTCACATACACTGCCTTACAAGGCAAATGAGCACCATGAGGTGAGGCTTGGGAGAGGTCATAAGTGAAGCCATGGGAAGAGAAGCAGACCAAACAATATGTATTCTTAAGTGTTGATTTGCATGAAGGTGGGGGAGGCATGGGTCAGGCTCATAGGAAACTTTTTCATTATATAGACTATTTACATACAAAATAAGCAATGGAACCTGCCAGTGTGTACATTCCAGTATTTTGTTCAGTAGTATCAGATATAGTGAATGTCTGTTGGCTGCTTCCAGAATCTTTTTTTTACCTCCTGATATAATTGAAATGCCACTCCATAGTTCATGATAAGTGAATGTAAGTTGCTGTGATTGATGCACATGGTGTTGACATTGTCCACCCAGGTAAGCATAATTGTGTTCTTGCAGGCGAGTCTGAATGTCACACCCTGCTTCCTGATGTAAATCTTACTGTGTCCCTCACATGGAATGCTGTAAATCCCTGCAGCAGTGTTACTTTTGGGGCCCTGCTCTGGTTTTGCTGATTATGACATCAATGTCCATGCTGGCTTTTCAGGATTATAGGGATGATACTGGAGGCAAACCAGTGTTGTGGAACTAATTGTGTCTAGTATGTTGGGTTGGGGATGTTGCCTCCTGCATAATACCAGAATCCATCAGAGTGCAGGCACTGTACTATTTCTAACCTTCAGTATTCATGTCCAGTAATCAAGAGTTCTGAATTCCCTTCTGAAATATTACCTTGCTCACCCTTCAATGGCACTTCAAGCTATAAAATCCACTTGTCTCCCCTCTGATCTAACTTGTCACACAAGCTTGCTGGATGCTTAAGCCATTATCATTGTAACCATTTTTAATCCCTTCCCCAAACTGTTCCTTTCAAGCCAGTTTTATGCACTTTCTTTGTCATTCTACTGTTTTCCATTCTCTCTAAATGCCCAAACCACAACAACCCCTCCTCAGCCCTCTGAATTATAATTTCTACGCTTCAAACTGCATATTGTTCACACACATTATCCTCATGTGTGACGTCTCGACTGTCTTCGCCCCCTCCTTGTTTGCTATGTTGAAAGCTTTTGCCTTACACCCATATAAAAGTATTGATACCACTTGAATCTGGTCCGTTACCCCTCTTTTTTTTTTTTGTCCCATAGGTAAAGTTCTTACTTTCCACAGATGCCACTTATATTTTTCCCTTTGTCTGTTCTGTGGTTCACTTAGCCTTTCATAGACCCAACTGCCAACAACCCCAAACTCCCAATTTTTTTTTTTTTTTTTTGTAACACATGGCCATTTCTCACCAAAGGGCAAGGTGACCTGAAAAAGAAACACTCATTCCCAAATACTAGTTGAATTAATCATATTCAGTTAATCCTTAAACACTGGTGATCAAGAGATTGGAAGTACAGTACATGTTTTGGAGGAACGCTGCCACTTCTGATCATTTTTTTAATGGAGTGTATGAAGAAAGCTGTTGTAAGAAAAAAATGAATGGGGACAAGGATGGTTAGTGAAAGGTTTTGAGCAACTGTTGGAAGAAAGGATGGTTGTCATGATAGAATGTTTTTAAGAAGGGTGTCAAAGAGGTGTGGTATGAATTTAACCCTTTCAGGGTCGACAGGCCTCTCCAGACTTGTTTCGGGTCGACAAATTTTTTAAAAAAAAAAAAAAATTATTTTTCTTATGAAAAGATAGAGAATCTTTTTCCGATCATAATGAACCAAAAGTATGAAATTTGATGGAAAACTTTCGGAATTATGCTCTCGTGAAGTAGCGGTCTCGACGATGTTTACACATCAGCGATTTGCCCACTTTGAGCCCTATTTTCGGCCAATTCAGTGTATGGTCGACAAAATCATAACTATTTCGCTAGAACTCCACTTTTTCTATCGATGAGTACAAGAAGCCACCCATTTACTGATTTCAGCTATCCAATAAAGTGGTCAGGATTTAGCAATTTTGCCAATTTCACACAAATTTCAAAAGATGCCAATTTCCAAATAGGGTCCCGAATAAACAAGAAAGACATTCCTGGCTCTAAAATAAATTTCCTCTGTTCATTAGTCACGTCCCACACCTCTCTTACATTCTTTTGCTTTCCACTTTGAATTTTATTTCCAAAAAATAGAAGATTTACTGTTATGCAAACTACTTCATTAGTGTAGAAATGGTTTTAAATAATATCAGCACACTTGTGAAAAAAATATTAGACTCACCAGTTGATGTGTATTGGATGCATAGCATGATTTGTTTACTTTTGAACTTTTGCAAAAATCGAAGATTTCTGTATTTTGAGCTCAATTTCAAGGTACTTTTCATTGTAAACCAATCAAAATCATCTTAATTTCTGTAATATGTCTTCCATTCTATAAAATGAGACCAGGAAAACTAGAATACAACCATAATACCCCTACAAAAATACAGTGCAAAGTCATGTTTTAAAACCAAAAACACTGTCAAAATTTTTTTTTTCTCATTACGCACTGTGTGCTGCAGGATTTTTTTTTATACTACGCCACTGACCACATAGACCCATTCTTCCATATGTGGGCCTACCAGTTTTCTCTCACTAGATTTAAAGGGCGCTAGTTTAGGCTACAGACGTCAAAAACCCTGGTGCAAAGCCGTACTGTACGTCAAAACCCTGAAAGGGGTTTAAAAAAGTTTAGTGTTTGTGTGCGCAGGAGTTAAAGGTTACAGGAGAAAATGTTTTGAACTTTTGAGAGGAAAGGTGGAAAGGAGTAAAATTGCAGGCATTTTTTAAACCCTTTGGGGTTTTGGGGGTGTACTAGTACTCTTACGCGTGGGGGTTTTTGTCGTACTAGTACGCAAAATTCTGGGGCCAAATCTCACAAAAAGCTGATAAGCCAATGTGAAGAATGGGTCTGTGTGGTGGGGGCGCGTAGGAAAAAAATCGGGGACCCAGGGGTGCTTGGGGGAAGCCATCAAGACACATTTCCACCGTCCCCCTTGGTAAAAAGTTCCCACTCCTCGGCAAATTGGGACACTTTTGTTCCCCAGTGACGTTCAATACAGATGGAAGTGACGTAAAAATGAGTTTAAAAGGTTTGGTGAGGTTTTGACCAAAAACTAATGACCATAATAGGGGTAATGTGAGGAAAACCCAGAAAACCCCACCTTCCCCCCCCCTCTGGGCTGGGCCCCACTTGTTCACTTCAGTTGTACCAGAATAAAAAGAGGAAACTCTTATTTTCCAAAATCCCAGACCAGATGTGAGCATTGGTGATGAAGTGATATGATTTATAAACTACAACCTTCAAACTTTTTCCAAGAATGGGGGAGGGGGAGGGGGCGGAGATGAGGAGGAGGCAGGGGAGGGGGAGGCAAGGGGGGAGGAGGCAAGGGGAGGAGGAGGAAAGGGAGGGAGGCAAGAGGAGGAGGGGGCAAGAGGGGGAGGGGGCAAGAGGAGGAGGAGGCAAGAGGGGGAGGGGGCAAGAGGAGGGGGAGGCAAGGGGAGGAGGAGGCAGGGGAGGGGGAAGAAAAAAGGGGAGGAGAGGAGGAGGAGGAGGGGGAGGAAGAAGAGGAGGAGGAGGAGGAAAAAAGAGGAGGAGAGGAGGAGGGGGAGGAAAAGAATACTAATGATAACAATAATACATAATAATAAAAAACAAATAATAAAAAACATAAAAAAATCATAAAAATTTAATGGGAATTAAAAATGTTCACCCAGACATAACAAGATAAGGGGAGTAACATCTGATAAGTGCTGACTTGATGGGGGTAAATGGGGGGTAGGCTATGCCAAAAGATGAATAAACTCTCCCCCCTTTTTTTCTGGTATACTAACTTTCTGTCTGTCTTTTTGCCTGTCGTCAAGCCCCCGTCAACCGCTAGTCTCTGTCTCAGAGACCCACAAGCTTGTCCCCCTTTTTCTCCATCTTCAAGCAAGAAATAGCACTTTTTGGATTTTTTGGGGTTATCCAGTAATTTGTACAGTATACTTGTATTTTGATTAGTGGGTTGGTAACAGAACCACCCGGGGGAGGTACACCGTCGCCAAGTGTGTAAAACGAAAGCCTGAAAATTGTTTTCAATGGTAGGTTTGCTGGTGTCTTTTGTCGTCTCATAAAATGAAAATTTTACGGTACGTCTTGCTACTTCTTTTTACACTTAGGCACACTACAATACATTAAGTTTTTTTTAACACACTCATTGGTTTTCTTTGTTTTTATCTTAAAGTTTTGTCTTATATTTTCCTTTTTAAAATTTCCAGGGGGAATGGAAAAAATCTTTCCTCCTAAGCCATGCGTGTTGTAAAATTCAACAAAATGGGGGAAAATGGCAGAAACCCCCTTTTCCTGTAAAGATTACTAAAAAAATAAAAAGAAAAAAATTTGTCAAGGGGGAAAGTCAAAATGTGCGGGATGTTGTGCAAATGATAAAAAGAGATGATTGGGGATGTTATGATGAAAAAAAACGGGATGCCGGGTTTTTAAATGAACAAAGCTAAAGGGGGGGTGGGAATTTTCAATGGAGAGGAATAAATGGGATTAGGGGCGGGTTTTAATAGAGTTAGAGCTAAAAAGGGTAGCAATAATGTTTAAGGGTAAGCTATGGCAGAAAAGAGGGACTACAAAAATATAAATTCAAGGGTTTTGTGGAGTAAAATAAAGATTATTGAAAATGGGGTTTTAAATAAGCGTTAGGGACCCGGAGAAAGAGAGTGTAAGGAGAGAAGAATTTTGGAAATGTTGATGAAGCGTGGGGGGTTTTGATCAAGTGTGAGAGTAATGGGGCTGGGGGTTTTAAAGCTAAATGGGTAAAAATGTTTTGGGGGAGTAGTAGGAATTTTGGGGGGCCAGGGGGAAAAGTAAATAGGGAGCCTTTAATTGACATGGTAGAAAGAAATTTGGGAAAAGTAATAATATTTTATGAAAAAAGGGTAAATAAATATACAATATGTGTAGCAGTAATGAAAGTATTTTTTAGATTAGATGGTGGATAAAAGGTTGATGGGGGGCCCAGGATGACATTTATGGGGGCAATGTATATCGGATCATTATTTTGTTGACTACAGTTTTGGTAAGAGGAGATGGGAAAAGGGAAGGTGGGAACAAAAAGTAAGAGGAGGTGAAGTGAAAACTAAGGGAGGAAAGTTCGGGGGAGATAAAAAGCGACTATTGGCAAAAGGGGGGTATGCAAAGAGAGTAGTGGGGGGGGGGGAAAGGGGTTTGGGAAAATTTTAAAAATCAGTATTTAAAAGTGGGGAAGTTTGTGGTTTTTAGGAGGGGGGGCGGAGGAAAGAGGGGTGATTTGGGGGAATGATGAAGTAAAGGGGGGGGTAAAAGAGAAAAAGAGCTTACGAGAGGTTTTTAAAAAGCAATTTTTTAAAGAAGAGCAGAGTTATGGGAGTAAAAAAAAGGTGAAAAAGGGTGAGAGAGTGCAAAAGGAGGCAGATGAAAAAAGTGGGAAGGCACTGTCAAAAAATTTTTATAAAATAAGAAAATTTTGGGGTGAGTTAAAAAAGTTTTAAAAAAGCCCAGGGAAAGTATGGATTTGCAGTTAAAAACAAAGTAGGGGAGTTTTGTAATGGGGAAGGGAGGTATAAAGGGAATGGCAGAAATATTTGGAGGAACTTTTTTAAAGTTAAGGAAGAAAAGGGGGGTGGGAATTTTGCACGCCAGGGAGGTATACCTCTTTAGGAGTGAAGAAGAGCAGAATGTAAGGGGGTGGAGGGTACGTGAGGCATTACGTAAATGAAAGGGGGGAAAGCATGGGGCGATGGGGGTCTGACAGAAAAAGTTAAAAGCAGGGGGGGGTATGTGTTTGGAGTGGGGTTGGGACTTTTTTTTAAAAAAAATTATGAAAGGGGAAGGACCAGGGATTTGGCGGGGAGTTATAGTCCCTTAATAAAGGAAAGGGGGCAAAAAAAATTGTAAAAATTATAGGGAAAAAGTTTACTGGTAACCCGGGAAAAATACGGTAGGGTTTTAAAATTTAAAGAATTTAAAGGGAAGACAGAATGTAGAATTGCGGGCGGCAAGGAGGCTTCAAGTGGGTAGGGGATTTTTGACAAGTGTTACATTGAAACATATAGGAACGTATTTAAATAAAGGTAGGGGAATTTTTATTGCATTTATGGATTTAGAAAAGGCATATGATAGAGTGGATAGAGGAGCAATGTGGCAGATGTTGCAAGTATATGGAATAGGTGGTAAGTTACTAAATGCTGTAAAGAGCTTTTATGAGGATAGTGAGGCTCAGGTTAGGGTGTGTAGAAGAGAGGGAGAATACTTCCCGGTAAAAGTAGGTCTTAGACAGGGATGTGTAATGTCACCATGGTTGTTTAATATATTTATAGATGGGGTTGTAAAAGAAGTAAATGCTAGGGTGTTCGGGAGAGGGGTGGGATTAAATTATGGGGAATCAAATTCAAAATGGGAATTGACACAGTTACTTTTTGCTGATGATACTGTGCTTATGGGAGATTCTAAAGAAAAATTACAAAGGTTAGTGGATGAGTTTGAGAATGTGTGTAAAGGTAGAAAGTTGAAAGTGAACATAGAAAAGAGTAAGGTGATGAGGGTATCAAATGATTTAGATAAAGAAAAATTGGATATCAAATTGGGGAGGAGGAGTATGGAAGAAGTGAATGTTTTCAGATATGTACTTGGGAGTTGACGTGTCGGCGGATGGATTTATGAAGGATGAGGTTAATCATAGAATTGATGAGGGAAAAAAGGTGAGTGGTGCGTTGAGGTATATGTGGAGTCAAAAAAACGTTATCTATGGAGGCAAAGAAGGGAATGTATGAAAGTATAGTAGTACCAACACTCTTATATGGATGTGAAGCTTGGGTGGTAAATGCAGCAGCGAGGAGACGGTTGGAGGCAGTGGAGATGTCCTGTCTAAGGGCAATGTGTGGTGTAAATATTATGCAGAAAATTCGGAGTGTGGAAATTAGGAGAAGGTGTGGAGTTAATAAAAGCATTAGTCAGAGGGCAGAAGAGGGTTGTTGAGGTGGTTTGGTCATTTAGAGAGAATGGATCAAAGTAGAATGACATGGAAAGCATATAAATCTATAGGGGAAGGAAAGAGGGGTAGGGGTCGTCCTCGAAAGGGTTGGAAAGAGGGGGTAAAGGAGGTTTTGTGGGTGAGGGGCTTGGACTTCCAGCAAGCGTGCGTGAGCGTTTTTAGATAGGAGTGAATGGAGACGAATGATACTTGGGACCTGACGATCTGTTGGAGTGTGAGCAGGGTAATATTTAGTGAAGGGATTCAGGGAAACCGGTTATTTTCATATAGTCGGACTTGAGTCCTGGAAATGGGAAGTACAATGCCTGCACTTTAAAGGAGGGGTTGGGGGATATTGGCAGTTTGGAGGGATATGTTGTGTATCTCTATACATATATGCTTCTAAACTGTTGTATTCTGAGCACCTCTGCAAAAGCAGTGATAATTGTGAGTGTGGTGAAAGTGTTGAATGATGATGAAAGTATTTTCTTTTTGGGGATTTTCTTTCTTTTTTTTGGGTCACCCTGCCTCGGTGGGAGACGGCCGACTTGTTGAAAAAAAAAAAAAAAAAAAAAATACTTTTTATTTATGTGTACCTGTGAGACAGAGATAGACAGACAGATAGAAAGAGAGAGACAGATTGAAAGAGATAGAAATGAGGGAGAAAGATAAAACACCATTGTGTATGACACCATGTTTCAGAGTTCCACAAGCTGCAGAACTAATAGGAATATGTTCAGTGACTGTATATTGGTATATATATTATAGAACAATAATAATAAACAATGTTTTGTATTGTTTGTTTTTGTAAACAAGTTTTGTAAACAATATATTGATAATTATGTTTGTGTGCTTTATTGTTGTTGTATACAACGAGTGTAATATGTACATTGCACCTTACTTTGGTCTCATAGGCCACATAAGTTATGTGAAAAAATAAAATAGTAAAAAAAAACAACAAACCTTCAAATACAAGTAAACTAAAGTTTACCGGGTGAGCGGCAGTCGCTGCTGTTGCCATACGCGGCTCATTTTCTGCAAAATTCATGCATCCATATCTCCGTAAGTATTGATGGTAAATTTTTTTTGTTTATCCTATAATGTTTAGAAAAAAAAACTCTATTTTTTCATAAGAAAAAATAATTTTTTTTTTTTTGAAATTTGGCCGACCCTGAGAACGAGTTTCGGAGAGGGCCTGTCGACCCTCAAAGGGTTAAAAGATGGATAGGGATGATGAATTAGACACATTTACATTGGGGTATCTTTATTTGTAGATGTTTTGCCATCCTGTGGCTTTATCAGTGCAATACATGGACATAATATAATAAAGTCACTGGATAGTGAAACATCAAGTAGCGATATCCAAATATTGCACATGTCTAATTCATCATCTTGTCAGTATTGAATATCAATGATATACATGGACAGGGATGTTGAGGCTCGGTGGCTCAACATTGGACCACTATGTCTGGGCTCATTTGGAAGTACAGCTAGAAGTCAAGTGATATGTTTTCTTTTTTTTTTTAAGTACCCTAGGTGTTTTAGTGTGAAATAGACATTAATTTAAAAGAAAAAACTTTAATTTATAGAGGTTGTTTTTAGTTTTGAGTCAAAATTTAAAAAAAAACAATGTATATCAAAAAAATAAACAAATTCTTAAGTTCAGTACAACTCCCTAAGAAATATTCCATTATTGTTTTGTTTATTGATGTTTTTTATTTTTATTTTTTAATGCATTTTTTCCCATTCTTTGTCTCAGCATCACTCTTGCCGACGTTCAAGTGTCCTAGTTCAAGGTATTGATTCAAGTAAGGCTTTGATCTGTTGGATCCAGATAACAACTTGCCAAGAACACAAGAACGTTTAAAGTCTGTGTTTGACGAGACTGGCTGGCAAGGTATTACACCTCGCAGACCTACTCACCAGGAATTCAGAGATGCTATCACTAACCAAGATTTATTTGTGTGAGTTCCAAGCTTTTTTTAACTAAGCTCTATTTTTAAATTTTGTGATATGGGTAATGTGGATATTTTAGAATATTTTAGCATTAACACTTTGTCTTGTGTTGCTGAATGTGATTACTTGTCCAGTTTACGTGTGTATATAGTCATGTATACATACATGATGCATATACATTAAAATGTTCATATTCATGGGGGTAATGTTTCTGTAGATTTAATAAGTATGGGAATTTTATGAAACTTTTAACACTTGAGGCAAAATATTTTTTAATACTAACTTAAAACTCATATTTTTGACTGATATTTTTTTTTTAACATGCTGGCCATCTCTCACCATGGTAGGATGACCCGAAAAAGAAACACTATCACTGTCTTGCCAGAGGCACACAGATATGACAGTTCAAATGTCCCTCCAAATAGCAAATATCCCAAACCCCTCCTTACAATCTTGTTCTGTAAATCAGTGCATTAAACCCAAAAACAAATGAGGAAAAATTATATCCAAAATTCAGTTATTGCTCCTGTACTGCAGAAGTATAACAGAGATTTATAACAGAGCCATCACTTTCTTAGGTATCCAGCAAGAGTGAGGTAAGTATTCTTAAGAGAAGACTAAAGCATAATCACAGAACTGTACACTTCCTGAATAATAAGAAAATATTATAACCTTTATATTATAATAATAAGGTAAAAGGACCCCAATGGAAATAAGTCACTCTGTCTGACTTTTTTGGGTTATCCTAGGTTCTCTACACATATGCTGCTATGTATGATAATTCTATGTAACTGTATTGTGTATACCTGAATAAATTTACTTACTTACTTACTTACTTACTTACTTAATCTATATCCATTTTACCCATACCCCATTCACTCATTTCTTGCATTTTCCTGTATCTCTTCCTCTTCTCATGAATGTTTTTTTTTTTCTTGTATGACTCATTATGTTTTCACATTTAATTCACCCAAACACCCTGCCTCTTGACTCACAAAATTGCAATAATACTGTTTGAAATAAATCACTGAATGAGCAGGGTTCAAAGCCAATATCAGGTGAGTCGTAAAACGCTAGTCTGCAAGTGTTAGTACTTGCCTGCCATGGGTTTGAGCCCTATCCCTCCTGTGATTTGATAACCCTGCCTCTCTTATATGTCATATGTTTTTCTAATACTGGGTATGATATATTAACAGGTATTCTGGTCATGGCTCAGGTAGTCAGTACATGCCAGGTGAACTGGTTGAAGGAGTTGATTGCAGGGCATTGGTTCTGCTCTATGGTTGTGCTTCCGTACGCCTAGCACCCTGAGGACGAATTCCAGACCTGTGGGGGGTTGTTCTCAACTACTTAATAGCATACAGGTATGTTAAAATTTGAGAACTCATTGTAATAATACAATATACAGCAGTGCCTATTTATTACAGTACTTTTTTTTTACCTCACTATGTATCTACTCTAGGTAGTAGGTTGGTAGACAGCAGCTGCTCAAGGAGGTACTACCGTCCTGCCAAGTGAGTGTAAAATGAAAGCCTGTAATTGTTTTACATGATGGTAGGATTGCTGGTGTCCTTTTTTCTGTCTCATAAACATGCAAGATTTCAGGTACATCTTGTTACTTTTACTTACACTTAAGTCACACTACACATACATGTACAAGCATATATATATATATATATATATACATACCCCTCTGGGTTTTCTTCCATTTTCTTTCTAGTTCTTGTTCTTGTTTATTTCCTCTTATCTCCATGGGAAAGTGGAACAGAATTCTTTCTCCATAAGCCATGCGAGTCATAAGAGGCAATTAAAATGCCGGGAGAAAGGAGCTAGTAACCCCTTCTCCTGTATATATTACTAAATTTAAAAGGAGAAACTTTCGTTTCTCCTTTTGGGCCACCCCACCTTAGTGAAATACGGCTGGTACGTTGAAAGAAGAAGACGATGTATCTACTGCTATGGTAGATTGATTCATAAATAAAAACACATTTACCATCATTCATCTATGGCTGTCTTGCCAGACGCATACAATTCAAATAACCCTTGATATTACAACATCCACACTATTCTTTTAACCATTTGACTGTTTCGGTCGTATATATATATATACGTCTACGAGCCACCGTGTTTGACGTATGTATACTCATAAATTCTAGCGGCTTAAAATCAAGCAGGAGAAAGCTGGTAGGCCTACATGTGAGAGAATGGGTCTGTGTGGTCAGTGTGCACCATATAAAATAAATCCTGCAGCACGCAGTGCATAATGAGAAAAAAAATCTCAGATCGTGTTTTTTGATTAAAACGGCGACTTTGTGGTGTATTTTTGTATAGTATTTATGGTTGCATTCTCATTTTCTTGGTCTCATTTGATAGAATGGAAAACATATTATAGAAATAGAGGTGATATTGATTTTTATTTATTTATTTATTTATTTATAATTTGAGCACACTTACAGAGGTACAAAAAAAATACAGATAAGAGCAGCATGCCAAAGCCACTTATACTATGCATAGCATTACGGGCTGGCTTAAAATTAACTTAAGATTAACTAAGCAATGATGAAATCAGTGAAAAACATTAATGTAAACTGATTACTATAAAGCACAAGTGAGTATTACAAAGACAGGTCATATGGTTGCATGCATTGTTGTAAATTCAGTAGAATGGAGTATTCTGTTAGGTAGTGTATTTAAAAAATAATAAAGTTAGATTGGGTTTTAGGTTTAACATTTATGTGATATTAATTGTGAGAAACATTTAAGATATACAATTTATAAGGTTCAGTTATTCAGTATTTATTTGGTTTTGGGTGAGTAAGTGATCTTTGAGAAGAGACTTGAATTTATAAACAGGTAGTGTTTCTTTTATATTTACAGGTAATGAATTCCAGATTTTAGGGCCTTTTATGTGCATTGAGTTTTTGCATAGCGTGAGATGGACACGAGGAATATCAAAGAGTGATCTGTGCCTTGTGTTATGGTCATGTGTTCTGTTGAGGTTGGCAAGGAGATGTTTGAGGGGAGGGTTAATATCAGAGTTGAGTGTTCTATGTATGTAATAGGTGCAGTAATAAGTATGGATGTTTTGTATGGTGAGTAGGTTGAGTGTATTGAATATTGGGTGGAGTGTGCTGCCTGTAGTGAGAATTTGTTATCATTCTAACTGCAGCCTTTTGTTGGGTAATTAGTGGTCTGAGATGGTTACTTGTTGTTGAGCCCCATGCACAAATTCCATAGGTGAGATAGGGGTAAATAAGAGAGTGATATAGGGCCAGGAGGGCTGACTGTGGAGCATAGTACCGTATCTTCGATAGTATGCCTACAGTCTTGGAAATTTTCTTAGAAATTTGTTGTATATGTGTATGAAATTTGAGTCTATTATCAAGGTGGATTCCTAAGAATTTTCCCTCTGTTAGCTTTGTGATAGGTGATCGTTTATCGTTATGTTAAGAGGGACATCTGTAGCTCTGTTACCAAACTGAATGAAGTAGGTTTTGTCAATGTTTAGTGTAAGTTTGTTAGTACTCATCCAGGTAGATATTTTCTGTAATTCGGTATTTACAGTATTGGCTAGCGTGACTGGGCTCGGGTGGGAGAAGACGTATGTTGTGTCATCAGCAAATAGTGTGGGTTTGAGTAATTGAGAAGCATTTGGTAGGTCATTTATGTATAGGAGAAAGAGAAGAGGGCCAAGGACACTTCCCTGTGGGACACCAACTGTAATTGGTTGTGCAGAAGAGTTTGCCCCATTTGCGTACACAATTGGCTTCTGTTGCTGAGGTATGACTTGAGGTAGTTGAGGGAGTGCCCTCTTATACCATAGTGTGACAATTTTTACGTGGAGCAAGTCATGGTCAACTGTATCAAAAGCTTTACGTAAGTCAATGAAGATCCCCAGTGGGACTTCTTTTTTCTCTATTGCAGTGTATATATGTTCTAGCATGTGTATAATAGCCATCATTAGTATTTTTATTAGGCCTGAATCCAAATTGGCAGGGGTTGAGTATGTTTTGGGAGATAAGGTAGGAGTAGATTCGTTTATGAATTAATTTTTCGAAGATTTTTGAGAGAGGGTGTAAGTTGGATATTGGCCTATAGTTATTCAACTCTGTTTGGTCTCCTCCTTTGTGGATCGGGGTGACCCTTGCTATTTTGAGTACTGTAGGGAAGGTGGAGGATTCAATGGATTTGTTAAAGAGTGTTGCAATGATTGGTGATAGCACTTGTGACACTTTTTTGTATATAAAGGGTGGTAAGGTATTTAAATCTCCTGCCTTGTTTTTTAGTGCGTTGATAATAAGGGAGACTTCGTATGGTTAGTCGGAGCTAGGAACAGTGTGTTCGGATAGTTGCCGGTGAGGTAGTCATTTGGTGGGGTATCTGAGCTTGGGATTTTATTGGCAAGGTTTTGTCCTATAGTGGAGAAGAAATCATTGAGTCTGTTTGCTGTTTCTGTTGGTGGGAGTTGGGGTTCATCTGATTTTGCTAATTTTATTTCGCTATTTCGTGATATCTTTTTTGTTCCCAGAATTTCTGATAGGGTTTTCCAGGTCTTTTTTATATCACCTCGTAAGTTGGATAATCTGTTCTCATAATACAATTTTTTTGCCCTTCTTATCAGGCTGGTTAGGATTGACGAGTAACGTTTTGTTTGGTCTCTGGTTATGTGACCCATTCTGTACTGTTTTTCATATTGGTGTTTTGTATTTATGGATTTGAGAATGCTGGGTGTTAGCCAGGGACTTGTTCAGTTCTTAGCTGTCATCTGCTTAGTTTTTTTAGGGCAGTGCTTGTTATAGAGGTATTGAGTCTTTTTTAGAAAATTATTATACATTCGTCAATATCTGTATTGATTTCTAGCTCAGTGTGCCAGTCAATGTTTGCTACTGCTGTTGTGAAGTTATTATGGCTGCCTCATTGTGAAAATCTGAAGGTGACTTTAGTAGTGTCTTGGGGTAATTTACCAAGAGTTGTTATGAGGAAAGTAGGGTAGTGGTCTGTGGTATTATCTGTAATTATGCCTGATTTTAAAGGGGATATGGTGTTGGTCCAGATGTGGTCAAGTAGGGAAACACTGTCTCTGTAAACTCTTGTAGGTTTTGTTACTGTTGGTAGCAACATACAGTTATTCATTGTGTTTGTGAATTCAGTAACGTGTGGGTCCTGGTCTTGCAGGAGATTTATATTGAAGTCACCTGAGAGTAGTAAGTGATCTTTGTTCATGCGTGCATCAGTTATCATACTCCTAGGTTTTGACTAAATTGGCTAATGTTTGACTGTGGAACTCTGTAGATGTTTATCAATGTGAGAGGTTTTGTAGGTATTTGGATTTGAATTTGGCTATTATATATTCCCCATGTTCATCTCTTGTGCAAGTATTAGTGATACATTCTAGTTGGTCTGAGTAGTATATGGCTGTGCCACCCCTTGTTGGTCTGGCCTACAGTTGTGTATGGCTGTGTAACCAGGAATGGCATAGACATCTGTACTATCAGGCTTTAGCCAGGTTTCAGTTAGTGTAATGATGGACATATTGGCATGTAAGGAATTTAGTAATGCTATGAGGTCATCGTAATGCTTGCTTAAAGATCTGATATTGTAGTTAAAGATAGTTATGTTGTTGTTGGGACTGAGAAGTGCCTTTGATTGTTCTGCAGTGTAGTAATTACAGTAACTGTTTGATTCATTTAAGTCATTAAATAAGAGGTTGGTATCTGGATCAATGCTTGTAATCATAAGATTTGTAGTGAATCTATAGTTAGAATTAAGTATAAAACAAAGTAAATAGTCTTAAGCTAAAAAAAAGCACCTGAATTATTTAACAAATGTAAAATAATGAGCTAAGGTAGTTTTTTTTTTTTTTTTTTTTTTTAAGCTAAAATAAAGGAGACAATATAAAAGGGACTAGTACAAATAAAGTGATGATCAAATAATGGAGCTTGGTAGGTAGTACTATAAAATAAATGAGCTTTGGAATATAATGGCAAAATTGTGAACTTGTTCTACTTTAGCACCTGAGAATAGCACCTTGATTATTTTAACAATTGTGAATGTATAAGCTAGGGTAGTTATATAAAGCTAAAATAAAGGAGAAAATATATAAGGGACTAAAATTAAGTAATGGTAAACAAAGTTAAATGGACAGATGGTCACTATGAAATAATATTGGTTTAGGAGTAAGATCTGATTTGTAATATTAGATAAATTGAGCAGTTTATAGCACAATAAAAGTAAAAAAAATGAGGTAGTTGGTACTAGCTAGCAAAAGATAGTTTTTGGTACTTGCAAAAAGTAATTGGAATATACACTAATTGCATACACAATGTAAAGTGACTAAAAAAACAAGTAGTGATAAACAAAATTAAATGGACAGGTAAGAAAAAATGGAATATTATTAATTTGGAGTAAGATTTGACTTTTAATTTAAAATTATGAGCAATTAATAGCAGTAAGAAAGTTATAGAGTATTGGAGGTAGTTGGCATTAGCTAGTGATGAAAAATAATAAAAATAATAATGTACAATATAATAGTAACGTACACTATATGCACCACACGTATATATGTATTAAGGGCACTTATCTAATCTGTTACAGAAATGTCAGCTTTTCTAAGGAAGGTAGAGAAATCATGTTCGTTTGAGATGGTATATTGTTGTCCTGTTGATGTTTTCCTTACTAGTATTTTCCCATCTTGGTTTTACTATGAAAATAACCTTGAAATGGAGCTCAAAGTAGGGGATATGTTTGATTTTTGCTGATGTTCAAAAGTAAACAAATGATGTCATTTTCCAATAAATGTCCAAATACTCATTTTAATATGTAGTCATGAATGGGTTGACATTATTTGTACAATTATTACAATATTGCAGTAGTCTGCATAACAGTAAATCTTCTATTTTTTGTTTGAATAAAAATTCAAAATAGAAAGCAAGAGTAATATCAGAGGGGCCTGGAGACATGACTGATGAACAAAGAAAATGTTATTTTAGAGCCAGGAATGTCTGCATTGTTCATTCTGGACCTTATTTTGAAATTGTCATATTTTTTAATTTTCGTGAAATTGGCCAAATTGCAAATTTCTGACCACGTTACTGGGTAGTTGAAATTGGTAAATGGGCAGTTTCTTGTACTCAATCGATAGAAAAAATGGAGTTCTAAAGAAATAGCTATGAGTTTGGTCGACTGGAACAATGGAATTAGCCGGAAATAGGGCTCAAAGTGGGCGATATCGCTGATTTGTAAATATTGCCAAGGTTGCTAACTTCGTGAGAGCGGAATTCCATCAGTTTTCCATCAAATTTCATTCTTGTGGTGTCATTACAATCGGGAAAAGATTTTTTTTTACTTTATCCTTTTAAAATGCACCACCACAGGCGGCGTGACCCAGCACTGAGATGACTGATGCTCCACACTCCATGAAAAAACTTTGGTTTTTGGAACTTTTCAAATTTCAGAATTTCAGATAAAGAGATGTGGACCTGTATAATGATTATAATCTGTATATGTTGGCCCTCGAACACAGGTGAGAGAGATACGTGATAATATACACTTGGAAGATGGAGGGATTGGTACCAAACCTGCACACGAAAATCACTCCCTATGAATGCAAAAGACTCGGCAGGAGATGCAACATTCCCCCAATGAAAAGCAGGGGTGCCATGAGTACATTGAGAGACAACACAATAAGTGTCCAGGCCCCAAGACTGTTCAACTGCCTCCCAGCATACATAAAGGGGATTACCAATAGACCCCTGCCTGTCCAGTGCCTTCTTAAAGGCACTGGACAGGCACCTAAAGTCAGTACTTGACCAACCGGGCTGTGGTTCGTATGTCAGTTTGCATGCGGCCAGCGGTAACAACCTGGTTGATCAGATCCTGATCCACCACGAGGCCTGGTCTCAGACCGAGCCGTGGGGTTGTTGACCCCCGAAACCCTCTCCAGGTAAACTCCAGGTAATATGCACAGTGGAGCATTTGCACATATCTATATGTATATTGTGCACATACATGGGCATGATCACCTACAATTTAGCATGTATATGCTTCACAATAATATCTCATAGATTTCTTTCTTTCAACACACCGGCCGTATCCCACCAAGGCAGGGTGGCCCCCCCAAAAAACGAAAGTTTCTCTTAAATTTAGTAATTTATACGGGAGAAGGGGTTACTAGCCCCTTGCTCCCGGCATTTTAGTCGCCTCTTACAACACGCATGACTTATGGAGGAAGAATTCTGTTCCACTTCCCCATGGAGATAAGAGGAAATAAACAAGAACAAGAACTAGAAAGAAAATAGAAGAATACCTAGAGGGGTGTGTGTATATATATGCTTGTACATGTATGTGTAGTGTGACCTAAGTGTAAGTAGAAGTAACAAGACATACCTGAAATCTTGCATGTTTATGAGACAGACAAAAGACACCAGCAATCCTACCATCATGTAAAACAATTACAGGTTTTCGTTGTACACTCACTTGGCAGGACAGTAGTACCTCCCTGGGTGGTTGCTGTTTACCAACCTACTACCTAGGATCTCATAGATTTGATTTCATAAAATCAGAAATGAAAACACTTTTTTTTTTCAGTATAGGAGGTCTAGTTTGAGATATACAAAAATATTTTTTTTTCACTTTTATAAGGAAAGTGCCAACGTTAGAATACCAAGTATAAAAGGTGATAAAATATTTTATTCCTAATAGGAAATATGTGAAATACTGAGTATGAAGATTTAATGATGTTAAAAGAACAGTTACACAATCACCTTTCTTGGCATTTTACTTCAATGTGTCCATGTGGTTCAGCACTCTCCGCATGATTATAATAATAATACCAAGGAGATCATGAGCTGAGTGATCCATATGGATTTAGACCCTTTCTGAGGAATTCTGTATATAACACTTTTTTTCCAATTTATAGCTTTAGTGTATTCTGTTAGAATTCTTTTGCTCCCGAATTATGGATGTTACCCATGTATATGTGGGTCTGCCGGTCTGGCATGTGTAAGTGGGGGGTAATTGGGGAAGTACGAGGTGGTCTCTAGCTATGGTGTAATGGAGGTAGGTGAGGGTGAGGTGGTATGGCTGAGGTGTAGTGGAGTTAGAGTGTTGGAGTGGGCAAAGCCTGTTGGCAAGAGGCTGCAGTTTACTACACCGCCATAGAGTCAATGAGGAGCGGCAACAGAACTTCAGATGACTTCGACTCAAGAAATCATAATGACACGATGCAAAATATACCATACCCCCGGGGCCCGGGGGGGGGGAAAAAATTTTTGTATTTAAATAAACCAGCGGTCATAGAGGCTCAAAAACCTCCAGCCCGTCGCAGTTCATGCCACTAGACCCAGCTGCCACATAAGATTCATCCAACTAGGTATATTTCTACAACATAGGAAAGTTAGCACAGGCACCTCTTTGACCACAAATGCAAGTTTTTACAGACGATTCTCCAGCTAGAGTGGCCGTGACAAAATATAGCTCAAGTCCCTTCACTGGCGTCATCATGACTTCATGAAATAGTAATGATCACACATTGCAAATTAAAACTTTTACCCCGGCCGGGATTGATCCCGCGGTCTTAGAACGCGACGGGCTGGAGTTTCTGAGGACTCTATGACCGCGGGTTCAATCCCGGCCGGGGGTATGGTTTTATTTGCAAATAGTGTTCATTACGATTTATTGAGTCATGTAGACGGCCAGTGAAGGAGACTTGAGCTAGAGTTCTGGCAAACGGCCACGATAGCTGGAGATTCGTCTGTAGTGTAAAAAAACTTGCTGCCTATTTGTGCGTCAAGAGGTAGCCTATGCCTAACTTTCACTATAGGTGTAGAAATATACGTAGTTGCAAGATGTATCTTATTGTGGTAGCTGGTCTAGTGGCTAATGCGAGGGCTGGAAGTTTTGGACTACCTATGACCGCGGGTGTACAATCCCGGCCCGGGTGTTATGTTTTAACTTCAGGATACTTGTCCTCCACCCAAACTCACATAGCAGAGCTGTATTAAACATATACTCTTTAAAATCAACTTGCTTTTTAAATGCAAAAGCAAATCACATGATATTCCGCAGGAAATGCATGCAACAAAGCCTATATAAAAACTAAGCTAACACAAATACCATCAAATATATATATGTACAAAAAACTAAAGTACATGACAGTAGTGACAATGACTAAAATGAAAGTGAAAATTTACCTGACTGATGAAATGATGGAGGATTAGAGCATCGTCTTGAGGTTGGATGCTGGTGAAAGAGATTGTGGTGACTAGTAGTATATACAGGGGAGACTTGGAGGCCTTGGCCTAACCTATAACCTCTGACCCCTTCTCGCTCAGACCGTACTGCCTCCACTGCACCTCAGGCATCTGAAGGTGGGGAGGAGAGGATCAGGGATAAACTGCTCATAAGATTTGTATTCAGAATTTTTTGGACTATTTTTCACACTAGAATGAATCACAAAGAAAAATAGAAAATTATATATTAATGACGGTACATACTTTATTCAAGGTGTGAAGTAAGAGGCAGCCTGGTAGTCTGCACCATCCACACATCTGCCCTGTGTACTGGAGGTGGTTATTTTAAAAAAGCACTTGGCACCACGCTTTTCACAGCCCGCCGGATTGTCTGGTACAGACAAGATCCAAAAGAGAAAGTATATCAGACTTATGAGAATCGTCTTGAATCCAAATATTTGGTAGTGCTGAGGATTAATGACTTGTCTTCCAGAGTGGAGTCTGTGGAAATGGCTGTAGCTGAGGAGAGAGAAAGGAACGTGGACACTAAACTTACTCTTATTTATATATTCAGTCTAGAATGAATGGTCACTTAGTTGTCCCACATTTTTGTTTGTGTATACAATTATTTCTCGTACTGTATGGTATATTACTTCAAGGGGAAGACCTGATGTTGAACATTTTTTGATCCAAAGAAGTGGAGCACTCTTTCTTTCCTCGAATCAAACCTGATTATTTCCCATTACCAGTTGTTATACAAAACCCCAAGTTTAGCTTATCCATTTTTATAATTAATAACTATTGAAATAGATATAACTTAATAGATAATCAGGTTATTAATAAATATGAATGAGGTGTCTGTGTTTGTTGACAGTGGCAATGTACATATAAATTAATATGAACAACGAGCATGGACTGATGTTTTCTACCAACCTCTGTAGCAGCTCACTCAGCACTGTGGAGTAGCAGGCATTTGCTGCTCTCCAGAAGTACAATGAAGCTGCTATCTGACCTTCTCCCCTTCCTCTCCAGACTTCCTTCAACTTGCTTCCCTCCTCTTCCTGGCTCTTCCACCCAATTCTCTCATTTTTCTGCCACCCTCCACAGCCCTCCTTCTCACTCTGTCTGTCTTCACCCCAGCAGTGGGCGGGCAGGGTTCAATGGATGAAGAGGATTGGGAGGTGGAAATAAGAGAAGGTATTTCAAGAAAGATGGAGAGAGGTAACAAGCAGGATTCAGAGGGAGTAGATGCAGGAGGAGTAGAAGTTGGAAAAGAGTGTAAGTAAGTGGTAGGATGGTGGAAGATGAGAAAAGATGGGAAAAGAAGAATTAGAGGATGATGACCAAATAATGGATGAGGAGAAAATTAGTAGAGAGGAGAAGTAAGTGAGAAATAGATGAGGAAGTAGGAATGGTAGGAGGTGCGGTAACTGAAAAGGAGGGAGAATTTTGCATAATGAATTGGCAAGAAGATGAAACCAGTGGTGAGTAGATTCTGCCAGAAGGTGCAAGGTGGCTACGAGGGAGGTGGTGTTGGAGCGAGAGGAAGTGCTGGGGAGCACTTAATACAGTGTCCATAGGGGAAGGCTGGGAAGATGGTTTCCTCGTAAGTCAGAGCCAGCGGTCCCAGTGTCCTTGCAAAGCTCCAAGCACTGTCTTGGGCACCTCGCTGAGAGGTCAGAGAGCTTCTGCCTTATGTAGGGGAACCAACACCCATGGTGACTTACTGTTGTAAGGCGACATTGATAAATTAATTAAAACTGGAATACAGTGGACCCCCGCATAACGATGGCATCACAATAGCGATTATTTCGCATACGCTTGCTTTAATCGAAAAATTTTTTGCCGCGATACCGATATTAAAGATCCCCAGCTCAACGATTTTCGTCAGAGACCGTCCAATGTGCGGCCCTCAGCCAGCTCACTGTGCCGCCCGTGCCATTGTTTACCAGCAGCCTCCTGCGGGATAACATCCAAGCATACACTCGGTATATTTTAGTTTATTTATTACAGTGTTTTCGGTGACTGTTTCTGGAAATAAGTGACCATGGGCCCAAGACAAGTTCTAGTGCCAACCCTACACCAATAAGGGTGAGAATTCCATATGAAATGAAGAAAGAGATTCATTGATAAGTATGAAAGTGGGAGGTAGTGCCGTAGCGCCCGACCTAGTCAAGTTGTACAAGAAACCCAATCAACCATCGCTACTATTTGTGGGCACCAAAAAGCAATCAAGGAAGCTGTTCTTGCCAAAGGTTTAAAACTGTGTTTTCGAAACAAAGATTCGCAAGTGATGGAAGATGTTGAGAGACTCTTATGGTGTGAGATTAAATGAAAAAAAGCTAGCAGGACGATAGCGTCTCTCAAGGATCTATGTGAAAGGCTAGGGAAGTTGACATGAGGAATTTAAGTAAATAAAATGCCTGTCAACTAGTGAGATGTGAGTGAATTTAATGCCAGCAAAGTTGGTTTTTTGAGAGATTTAAGAAGCGTAAGTCGGCATTCATAGTGTGAATAAGGCATGGTGAGGCTGACAGTTCGCGACCACCAAAGCGGCCTGAAAAAATATGTGCTGGAATTCAAGGAAGTCATAGACGTGAAGGACTGGAAACCATGAACAAGTGTTTAATTGTGATGAAACAGCGTTCTGGAAAGAAAATGCCAAGCAGCGTCCTACATTACTCAGGAGGAAAAGGCACTCACAGGAACTTAAGCCTATGAATTGACAGGCGTTACTTTGTTGATGTGTGCCAATGCTACTGGTGATTGCCAAAGTTAAGACATTTATTAGTGTTTCACTCTGAAACTCCCAGAGCGTTCAGGCAAAAGAATGTCTCAAGGGATATTTGTGTGTGCCCTGTGGAGGGCAAACAGTAAGGCATGGGTCATACGGCGACTTTTTCTATAATGGTTACACCATGCATTTGCCACCAATGTGAATGATTACCTAACTGAAAAGAAAATTAAGACCTTAAGTGCCTCCTGGTGTTAAGAAATTGCCCCTGGTAATACTACAGACGTGGCAGAGCGACTTTATGGGGACATGAGCTTCATTTAAGTGAAGTTTTTGGCCTCCTAATTCACTTCCTCTCCTGCAGCCCATGGACCAGCAGGTTATTTGCAAACTTCAAAAAAGCTGTACACAAAAGCTCTGTTTGAAAGGTGCTTTGTAGTGACCTCGCTCAGAAACTCAACTGACTCTAAGAGAGTTTTGGAGAGAGCCCAACTTTAATATCCTTCAATTGTGTAAACCTTATAGGTAAGGCTTGGGAGGGAGTGACTAGGAAGACCTTGAACTCTGCCTTGAGAAGTAAACTGTGGCAGAAAGTGTACGACATAAGGAATTTTGCGGGTTTTGAGGCTAACCCTGAGAGGATTATGCCAGTTGAGGGAATCCATTGTGGACTTTGGGTAAGTCCCCTTGGGGTTGGAGGTTAGAGGGGGAAGGATGTGGTAGGGTTGGTGGGAGGAGGACAATGAAAGAACTAACTACTGTTGAGCTGATATAGATCAACTTCAAGAGCAGAGGGCCAGAACTGGGAAAATTGGTTTCTGGGTTCAGAGGAAGGCGCGAGAGAGAAATGAGAGCGTTTGCCTATACAAAGATAAAGGAAATCTGTGCAAAAGAGGCTTGATGTGCAAACCTCCAATGGATGAAAATCACTCAAACAGCTATTGGGCAAGCCGTCGCTGGTGATTATACAACTGACAATGTTGTGAAAAAACTTTAGGCATGTCATAAAGGAACGAGAGGTTCAGGCCACTATGGACAGATATCTTGTGCGAAAGAAGTCAGTGACTCTGAAGCTGGCCCTAGGTGGCATTAAAGAAGAGGGACAGTAACCCTCCAGAAAAGGGACTGCTACCTCAAAAGGCCTAATGGAAGGGGATTCCCTCTAAAACTAACACTCTCTCTCCCCTACTCCACACATCCAATCAATCATCACCAGACTTCAATAAAAGTAAGCTATAGTGTCATGTAATTGTGCATGCCTTTTTCAGTTTGTGTGTATCACCTAAATTAACATTTCCATGTGGTAAAAAATTTTTTTTTCATAATTTGGGTTGTCTTGCACGCAGATTTAATTTTATTTCCATTTATTTATTATGGGCGAAATATTCATTCACATATCGATTATTTCGCATAACAATTTACCCCTCTTGCACGGATAACAATCGTTAACCGGGGGTCCATGTACCACGCAGTAAAAAACTTATATATTCTATGGTTAGTAAGAATAACAGATAACTTGCATAGGAAAGGAATCTTGTGATGACCAGTCTACATGACCATGTGGGTTTAGTGCCCTTAGTTATGAGTATAATAATATGTGTATGGCCCTTGAGGGTTTCAGCACTTAGTTTTATTTAATTATTGACGAACATTTCCATCATAGACTATTTTATGTTACAGGGGTCCAGGTTGGACTGAGATGTTACATAAATTCACATTCACTTTTTTTATTTATTTATACCGTATATCAAGATACATGTCTGGTTTAACATAATAAAATATTGTTAGGTACAAAAGTATGCTATACATTTTGTATAAAATAATTGCTAATGCTTAAGGTTCCTTGTTAAATGTGAGTTATTTGTGAATTCCTAAATACAGTTCAACCCTGATTCATATGCTTCATAATTTCTGTAATTTATATTATACACTGTTACTACAGGCCATTTAACAAAAAAAATGGGTATAAATATGATCATTAATTTTAAAAGTGTGGGATCCAATTTAAAGCCTTTGGGGAAAAAGGACCATCGTTCAGATGACAAAAGCTCCACGCTGTGGGTTATCATATGGCTAAGATCTGTGTCAGGAAACACTTGTCCTGTTTCCTGACAGACCTTACCAAACCAACCAGCCATATTATCCAGAGTTAGCCACCCCTCCATCCCCATGGTGTGGGTGGGTGTGGAGATCAGTGCCTGGGGCAAGGGGGAGGGTGATGGCTCCTTCCACTCAGGATGCTGGCACTCCACCATCAGGATGCTGGGAAGGGAGGTGCGGTAGGGAGTTGTTAGTATCCAGTGAGATGGGGTGGAGAGGGAGAGCCTTTCAAGAGGAACTGTATAGCCCCTATGGGTTTAGCACTCCAAGTAATAAATACAAAACCTTCTCCGGATTCTCTCAACACTCATCCTCATCCATGATTCGCACCCAAGCTGACTTGTCTAAACTATCGGATAACACCTGAGGACTTCTTCAACCTCAAACGGCAACCTAGATTACAATCGTCAACACCCAAGGTAAATAACCCAGGAATTCAGTCACTCAAACAACGAACCCGAACTCCATTGATAAATTCTACAGGGTAAATAGTATGCTAAGCGACAAAACAAAACTATGAAAAATCAACTTATGACTAGAGTGCTCACTACATACCCAAAAACACGAAGAATTGATGACCTTGAATATCTCTTTCTACACAAAACTCAAAAGATTAGTGAACTAGAAAATAAACTGACATCATTAATTAACTAGTCTAAGAACAATAAAACCTACATCCTCAACTATAGGACACACATGCTAAACAAATAAATTCTCTCACAACCAAGCTGTCAGAAAGCACACAAAGACTGGAAGTTAAACATGGAATCCCAAGTGGAATGCATGCTTCCAGTATCAAAGTGATATGATTGAAAAGAACATCCTAGACTGTCATTTTAACCGAGATCTACCTTACCCCAGATACAAACAATGAGAATTGCACCATCCAAAGCCTCCAACTTAATAAAAGATGAGATAAAGTTAACTTATAAAACAGTGATATCCAGGAGCACCGACTGCAGGCAAGCGGGTCAAACAGCAAAGTGTTAGGTTGAAAATTCAATGCCACTGATGTAAAAAAGTGATCTAATAAGTTCCTCCATAAAGAAACAGAGTAATGTGTATTACTAAATGAGTGTAACCTAACTAAAAAACGTCTCAGTACTATTTTACAGACTTCGAAATATTAAAGCAGTGATAATCGCATCAATAAAAACAGCTGCTTTACTCGTGATGACATTATCGTGGTTAAAATTATCAAGACACGGGTCGTAGGTTTTTGAAATAACAAATGATCAAGAACAGCATTGTTTCCTCTCATTCATGGTTTGACTGAACCTTGTTAAGACATATATCAACAATTATTAAAAACCATGTTCAGTTGCTGTAGTTTAGTAGAATTTACCCTTAATTTTTTTTTTCTGTAAATCCATACTTTTCAATAACTGTTAGTGAATAACGTAATATATTCCAGCTCTTAAGCCACTTAAGCGTATTCAAGGTG